TTGGGGGAGGCTATGCCCAGCAGTGGGCGTTTGTCGGTTGATATTATGATGAGAATAATATTAAACGACAAGAAAATATACAAAATTTAAAAATTTAACCGGGACTTCATAGATGACAGAAATGAAATCCAGGGCGTGCAAATCATTCAGCTACGAAGGTCATTTACTACACATCCGAAGACACCTATTTTTTTAGTGTATAATATTTTTCGTTGAGTATTTGACACTCCTTTGATAAGCTAATTGTTTTGCAGCTAATGTTGTTTTAAACAAAACTGGAAGTGAATTTTAATGGCCGCAATTAGATGACTTTTTTATGCGTGTTAAAATTCTATTTTTGTTACTAGTTTTTCGCTTTTAATTTACCAAATTTAAATTAGTTTTGTTTAACTTTAATAGTTCTTTGATTACTTTGATAATGTATGTATGTATTAAATTGTCATTTTGTTAGCATGTAGGTATATAATGAGCAAAATCTCTTGAACTTTACATTGTGTAAAGAATTTTTGTTCAAAGGATTGGTAAATATTATTTAACAAAATAAGTAAGTTTATATAATATACTTTTTGATTTATCATATACTCGCGTACTTCAGAAAAATCTATTTTTTGGCTTAATTAAAAAAAAAACAAGGTCCATGCACTGAGCAATTTAGGCAAAATAATGGATAATTTGCAAAAATGCGAACTTCGTAGCACGCGTAGCACATCGTAGCATTTTCTTAAAAAACGCTAAGAAGATGTGACTTAATGTTCTTCAAGAGACGAGACTTAATGTTCTTCATTATATTAATAGAGATATAAACCAGTTTCATCTTCTCCAAAAAAATTCCTAAGATAGACTAGGCATTCATTTAATTACCTAAAAAATGCTTTAATGGGAAAGGTGATAAATCTCTTGAGTATTCTTACGTTTCGACAAATTTCTAGTCTGATTTGATCAACCTCAATAGTGATATAGATAACCGGTGTGATTCAGTTAGGTTGAGCTTCCCGGTTTCTTTAAAAAGACAATCAGTGTAGTCTGTATGATTACCAAATAGATATTAGTGTGATCCTTTGGGAGCGGGGTGGGCGCGGGCACGGGTGCCAGTGGTGGGGCAGGGGGGTTACGTCGAGGGCGGGGGGCGGGGCCGGCCCGCCTGGGGTGGCATGGCGGCTGGCGGGGCCGACGCCGCCGAGTCTGGCGCGTGCTCGGCGAGCTCATTCCGCCCGCGAGCGCCGCGCCGCGAGCACGTCATGCTCGAAGTCGTATCACAGTGCACACGCCGCGCGCGCGACCACTCCCGCGCACATGCAAGCGCTAGTGATGTTACCAGACTCTGTTGTTATGTGCCATCGGTTCGTTCGTGAACGTGTGCTGTTCTATCTGTTCCCGAAGCGCTGAACGATCGCTCGCGAGGATATCGCTGATTTTTGCGTGCCCGTTGACGTTGGATGCGTTAAAATTTCGGGTGAGTGAGAGAGGCGAGCGGTCGTGCGCCCGCGGCCGGTTTGACCGCATTATTTTCGAAATACGTACGTCGCGATCCGGTCGACCGCGCTAGAACCATCAAAACATTATAACAACAACATATAAAATCGTTGACTATGTAACATATAAAATGGCTATGTTATAGTGCCTAAAAGTTGGTCGCGTTTTCGACAGTAGAGTCTACGAGTGTTATGTTGTTTTTCTTAATTTCTCGAAAATTTTGACCTTTATAAGATCGTTAGAAGTGGTGTGTTTGATATATGCATGAGTGTAGTGAAATATAGTATAGTGTAGGCCCTGCGATTAGACGTTGCAGGATAATGTTTACAAATGTCGCGCAGTAGAGACGGTGCGTCTAGAAACGCATCCCGTTGATGTCTTTTACTAAACGCTTTTGGAAAGTATTAAATCGTGAAATCTGTATTTGCATTTTGGTGTTTATATAATATAACGACTTTAGTTCGTTTTATAATTTGTTTTTCTTGAGATAACGTAGATGTCTTTTCATTGGATTTACTGATATCTGCCACACGATGTTTTGGTGCGTACAACTTTCGAAATGTTGTTTCTTTTACCATTGTTCACTCAACCTACATATATAGGTATATTTTGAATTTAAACTTTATTTTATATGTGTAAATATTATAATTGAAAAGTCAAATATATTGCAATTATTAAAGTAAAATTGATAATCTTGGTGTCTCTATTTGAGTCGATATGCGAATGACCTCATGTGAAGAGTAGGCTACGGCAGTTGTTGTGTTGTCGAAATCTTCCATGATACACTAAACATTTTATTAGTTGACCTCCGAAGTCGAACGATTAGGTCGAAGTATGACGTATGCCAATCTCTTACATTTCGGTGCTGGCAACGTAATATCAATAAGTTTGTAAAATTATATATTTCTTACCCTTTCTATTTATAATTAAAATCTCACAGAGTATTTCCCTGATACAGTTTATATCTATCTGTAAATTAGAATACTATTTGCATGAAGCTAGAGTAGTTTTGACTTCACCGCGAAGCCTATAAGATATAGTTATCTTAAAGGCTTCGCGGAGCTCTGTTAGGATTTAAGTCTTCGTAAAATGTGAAGGCATTCATAGTGTTCATAAGTTTGTCATTTTTTTATTATTGATAAATTTTGCATTAACAATATTATTGTGGGATTCCGAAAGGCCACGAGTTTGAGTCGCATCTCAGACAATAGATAATGTAAAGTTATTTAAAAAGAAATACTTAAAAATTACCAGTATCTAGTGCCCGAAATTGAATTCGAACTCGTTATCTTTTGCAATCCGGTAACTAATCTAGCATAATTGACAAACATAATAACTTGACAGTTAGTTATTTTTTACTTTAACTTAATAAAGTTTATCTTTTCGGCTAAATCAGTATACCTAATTGCACATATAATTATTTCTCTAAAACGACTTAAACATTTGTTATCAGATATTAATTTATTTTATTACCTAAATTACTTCCATAATATAAGCATTACTACTCATTATTTCAAAGTAATGTTTGAAAAAGTAAATGATAATTGTGTTCTTCACAAAAGTAGTTAATTAGGACTTTTTTAATGTCCTATTTAGTATTATAAGCACATAATTAGCGAATGGATTCATTAGCTAACTATGGGTTAATTTTCACTAATTAAAGACTAGTTATTGAAAATTTATGTGCTTCGAGTTAATTTTTCATTTGTTATATATAAATTTGTTACTTGTTTATAAATTAACGTGTGGTAATATTTTAATAACTGTGATAGTTTATCAACATATTTACTGGTGAAAATATTTAAGTTTCTATTTTGATATTATACTATTTCTACAGAGTCAAGACATATTTTTATTTTGGTGGTTTAGGCGGTAGTAAGAATCTGTATTTTATTTTATTTCTTCGTGTATAATCTATACCAATATTATAAAGAGGAAAGATTTGATCGTTTCCATTGAAAAGGCTCCAAAACTATTGTAGTGATTTGAATAATTCTTTCACCTGCGAGCGGGTAACATAGGCTATAATTTACTCAGGCGAATTCGCGGGAAAACAGCTAGTGCGCAAATATAATAAACGTCATTTTAATGGGTTTAGTCGGGTATATTTATTACATATTTTTAGATGATGCAGGATCCGTGGTAACTAGACTGAGATTTAAAATAGGGGTGGGAGTTAAAAGCAAAGCAATAAAAAGTTTGAATAAAACTATTCAACAGCCATTATTTGTGGACAGTGTTACACTGAACGTTGATATGTTTGTATCCAATCAACACATACATATAGTGTATTTATATTTATAAATAATATTTTTCTATTTTATCCGTGTAAGTTATCAACATGTATATGGATATTTTACTTAATTAACACATACATAATAATAGTCGGCAATAAAACCTGTATTGAAAATATTTATATACATCACACATAATTTTTATACCTAAATTTAGCAAAAGAGTCTTGTCTTATATTATTATAAGATTTTCGCAAAATTGTATAAGATACTCGTTTAATTAGTTAAAAGTCGTTGAGTAGGTGATCGTCGAACATAAATATAAATTTTATTTCTAACATAAGACAACTAATTTAAAACAGTTTTAATATATTTTAATTTAATTAATAATGTTACTTGTCAAGTTTTACAACAATAAATTAATTTTAAATTCGATTTAGAAGAATTAAATTAAATTATATCATATGTAAAGATACTAGGTATATTATAATATTTGTGGTAAAGATAATGAATGTTAAGAATACCTGATGGAATTGTTTTTCTTGCTCTATGATAAGATTATTTAACTTATGTAATTAAAGTAAGTTATTATTGTGCAATCAAATCATTCACTTAGATAAATCTGTTAGAAATATTTGCTAGGCAACTATTATTCGACTATCATTCGCTTATCTTTGGTGCATGAAACTGGGTGCATATTTATGTGAATGTATAACAAGAATTGTTATCCAGCTACATACAATGTGCTCTGGTGCATTCATTAGAAATATCGTGTGATAAACTGACTGCCGGCAGGACACAGTGTTGGCTTTGTGGGATAACTAATAACATTTAACACAATACATGAGTGTAGACAATTCTAGAAATTTTACTTACTCAGCCGGAGAAATAGTGTTGTACCCATTAAGCGATCATTGATTCAAAATGACTATAATGTGTTTACTATTATTATAATCTGAGTGATATAAATACGGCACATGGGTTAATGATAATTTATACATTATTATATCAACATCTGTTTGTTATCATCAAGTTTATTATCAGCTCGGTTTGCGTGTATTAGTGAAAGGAAGATTTTATACATTACGTTATATTTACGTCAATGTCATATTAATGAATCCGTAAGCTTTAAGTTATTATTTTAAAATATAAAATTGAACAAAAATTTCGCCGTAGATATTATAAAAGCAGCCAAATCGCTAACCCGATTTACTTATATTGTATGTTAACCATAGTTTTTATAAATTGTTATTTACATTTTTACTAGTCTAATAAGATCTTTTTTGTTTACAGGTGGGTCGAGGAGAATTATGCGTGGGGCGTGCGCGTGCGCAGTGGTGTGCGCGTTGGTCGCGTTGTGTGCGGGCGCGGGGCTGGACGAAGCGACGCGCGCTGCTGCCGAGCGGCAGCTGCTCTCGCTGCTGGGGCTGCCACGCCGGCCCGCGCGCCGCCTCGCGCCGCTGCCGCCCGTGCCCCGAGCCCTGCGTCTGCTCTACGCAGACGGGAACATTCCCGCTGCCGCTGCGAACACCGCCCGTTCTTACCACCACACTCCCACCGATCTCGACAACCGGTTCCCGGCCGAACATCGGTTCCGACTTTACTTCAATTTAAGTGGCGTTCCAGTCGACGAGGTCGCACGCGGAGCCGAACTGACTTTCCAAAGAGCGCCCGGTGCTATCGGTGATCAGCGTCTGCTGCTGTATGACATTGTTCGACCCGGATGCCGTGGCAAAACTGAACCGATACTACGACTCCTCGACTCTGTGCTTCTAACGCCCGACAAGGGCATAGTTAAAACGGACGCCCTCAGTGCCGCGCGTCGATGGCTTTTGGAGCCAAAAGACAATCATGGACTATTAGTGCGTGTTATAGACGAAAATGAGCGAAAAATGGACGCTAAAGTGCCACATGTGAGAGTGCGTAGACGTGCATCAGAGGATGAAGAAGAGTGGAACACAGTGCAGCCCCTGTTGTTGCTGTATACTGAGGACGCACGAGCGAGAGAAGCCCGGGAAAATGGTGAGACTCGACTAACGAGAAAGAAAAGAGCGGCCCGAAGAGGCCATCGCTCGCATCACCATCGTAAAGAGGCGCGAGAGATCTGCCAAAGGCGACCTCTGTACGTCGATTTCGCGGAGGTGGGCTGGAGCGACTGGATTGTGGCCCCGCACGGGTATGATGCGTATTACTGTCAGGGCGACTGTCCGTTCCCTTTGGCAGATCACCTCAATGGGACAAATCATGCCATCGTACAAACACTCGTCAACTCTGTAAACCCGGCGGCAGTCCCTAAGGCGTGTTGCGTACCCACCCAACTTTCGCCCATTTCTATGCTTTATATGGACGAATTAAATAATGTGGTGCTCAAAAATTATCAGGACATGATGGTAGTAGGATGTGGCTGCCGATGACGAAGGCATGCCCACAAACGGTGCGGACCTAGTGATAAACTCGTGGACCCAGTGTACATATAGTAGCGGCCTCGACATTGTACATATCTGTGTGTGTATATATACGTGTAATTATTATTTTATTCAAACGAAAATATAATAAATCATATAATTCTGATGTTGTCCATTTTTATTGATAACTACAACCTATTTTAATAGTTAAGATTCAAAGATTTCTGTATGCATAGTCTTTAACAAGATTCTATTTTTTATTTATTTTAAAATTCAGAGTGAGTTTTATTTTTACAAATATATCATGAGTCTTAATAAAAATACGAGGGTCAAACTGAAAGTTCTTAGAACTGGCCACTTATAAACAATATAATAAAAAAATAATTCTAAAATTTGAAAATATAACTCTTTGCCAATATTACTGAGTATATATTTCATTCATTTGTCATTTGTTTTACGATTTGGCGGCAAATTGAAAATTGTCTGTGTCACGTCATCATGAATTTAACACGAGAAAATTTTCGTGCAATGATTTTTTATGACTTTCGATGTCATTTAAGTCAACAAGAAAGTTATGATAGACTACGATTGGCCTTTCACGATGAAGCCCCATCTCGTGCGACTGTTTACAACTGGTTTAATGAGTTTAAACGTGGTCGCACTAATCTCACTGATGATTTACGTGAGGGACGGCCTTCTACGGCGACGACTGAAGATAACATCTGTGTTGTGCGGCGTATGATAGAGACTGACAAAAGAGTGACCTATCAACAGATTCGGACAAGCTTAGGCATCGGTATGAGTCAAGTGCACAAAATCCTCCACGAACATTTAGCGGTCAGGAAGCTTTGCGCCCGGTGGATACCTCATAATTTGACTGAGGCTCAAAAACTCCATCGTGTGGATTGGTGTCGTAAAATGATTGAAAGATTTAACGGAGGTGACTCAAATGCTGTGTTCGACATACTAACAGGTGACGAAAGCTGGATTTACTGTTATGATCCTAAAACCAAAAGACAATCTGCTCAGTGGGTGTTTCCTTTCGAGGAGTTGCCAACTAAAGTGAAGAGAGATCGAAGTGCGGGAAAAAAAATGGTGGCCTCGTTCTTTGGAAGGATAGGTCATTTTGCAACAATTGTGTTAGAGGATCAAAAAACAGTTTCTGCAGAATGGTACACTACCAATTGTTTGCCACTTGTCTTGGAAAAAGTTCGAGAGAAACGACCTCGCAGTAGGATCCTCCTTCACCACGACAACGCCTCGTCGCACACCGCCAAGCGAACGATCGACTATTTGGCGACATCAAACGTTGAATTACTGGGTCACCCGCCGTATAGCCCCGACCTCGCGCCTTGTGATTTTTATTTATTTCCAAAAATTAAAGAAAAACTTAAAGGAAAGCGGTTTATGAATGCTGAAGAAGCGGTGGCTGCGTATCGCGATGCCATTGAAGAGACCCCTTAGGACGAGTGTGCAAAGTGCTTTTCCCAGTGGTTCCATCGCATGCAGCGGTGTATTGACGTGAATGGACAATATTTTGAAAAGATATAATAAAACTAATAACTGGCTAATGTAATCAGTTTTTGATTTTCTAAGAACTTTCAGTTTGACCCTCGTAATATTAGACCAGTCGTAAAATAAATTATAAACATAGCTCAATAACATAATTTTAATGTATGTTTGTGATCAACTGATCAAATATAAAAATTTATCAATTTCCTAAAGTATGAAATGAGAAAAATCTTTTATTTCTTATGCTTAAAATATTTTATAATTTTGTATAATTATAAAAAATCGTTATAGTTTTTATGTATACTAAATTGTAAATACTTCCATTACTTAATATACAGAAAAATAAAATGATTTATCTATACATAGTACAGAACAAAGTCACATCCCGCTGTATGTGTACAATACAAGACAATACATGTCAGTTAGTTAAAAAAAGTAATGTACTAATGTAGATTACTTTACATAGACGATCTCCATGGCCGAGCGAGTCGCACCTGGTTTCAAGGTGTCTCGAAGTCTGAGGTCCCGAGTTGAAATGATCTTTAAGATCAGAGACAAAAATTTTGGATGCGGGTAACCTAGGACAAAATAAACGGTGTGGTACGACGCACTGTTAAAGCGTAGAGGATTAATAAAAAAAAATATTGAAGCTCTAGTCTGGGAAAGCGCTACGTTCGTCGTTGAGTTCGAGGCTGTTATCTAACAGGTTAGATGTACAGTGTTGTATAAAATTTATTATTATTACATAGTTTTAAAAAAGCAAATACTTATTATCCTCCTCCGTAGTCAAGTGGTTCGCAAGCTGGTTTCAAGGTGTTATTATCTCTGAGGTACCGGGTTCGATTCTCGGGACAATGTAGAAAATGAACTTTTTTATATTGTTTTAGATCTGGGTGTTGTGCTTTAATTACTTTTCTCGGAATCTGAGCAATGTATGTGATGTAGTTTAAATATATTTATTTATTTTCTAATACCAATATTTTACTTAAGCACTTACTTAAAACTAGAAAACTGCTACAAAAATTACTCAAATCATCTCTTCATAAATTTTATTTTTAATAATTGCACTTCACTTTTACAAATACCTTATAATATTTATTAAATACTAGGTACCACAACACAGGAAATATTCAACAACCTTTACTGACGGACTACTACCTAATTGAAAGTTCCCAGTCAAAATACAATTCGATTAACGACGTTAGGGTCACACGGTGTCACATTAACCTTGCCTTAGGGTCATTGGTGAATGAACTTATATGAATGGGCCATAACACCTCCAGACCGATGACAACGTTGACACAGCCTTTCAATAAACGCTTGTTTGGGTTATTGTACTATACGGTAGTGAGTAAGCGTGGAACACCATAAACATCGGTCAAGAGTACACTGTAACAATGACCAATGATTCACAGAATCATTGAGTTCATTAAAATCCAATGATTGTGACCGAAACGAATTCGAAATAAACTGTTATTAGGAATGGGAAAAGTATATTGGATTTTTAGTTGAGTGAGACTAACAACGATCTTAAAGTATTTCAACGAACAGCTTAATTGTTATGTTATTATAAAATATAATTTTTTTTTCTCTATATTTTCATTTCTTTTTAATACTCCCTTACTTCGATTCTCTGAATTAACTTCAAAACTATTTATATTAAAATTATAAAAGTAGATTTGAAAAAAAAATACAAGAAGTCCTTTTATTTGATATGTCACAGAATGTATTTTGTGTTACCTTTTTTATATTTATATTTTTTTATGTTGCATAGCCACCAAATTAAAGACACTTTCTCAAGTAATTATCTTGTGTTTCTTTCGCTCGTTTTTCTTGTCAGCAAAATAACGTCCTAAGCGGATGGTGGGGGAATAATTGTTGAACAATTCAAAAGTACTTATTTTAAATTTATTTGAATAAACATTTATTGTCTTGACTTCTTCCTGAACATTGACTCTTCTCTATTGACGACCATCTCTGAGACTCCAGATTCGATACCCGGTCGGATCAATATAGAAAATAGACTTTTCTAAATTGTCTCGGGTCTGGGTGTTGACCAGAACGAGGGAACCAACCCTCTTTGTCTCAGATACTCCATAACACGGGGGCTTTAGCTATTCATCTTAGATAGCTAAAGCGATAAATGTATGTTTATATATAATTTATTCATCATCATCAGCCTCTTTACGTCCCCACTGCAGGAGTTCAGGCCTTCCTTATGGATGGTTAAGGAGCATGGGCCATGACCCTCCACGCTGGCCCAATGCGACCAACCCGCATTGGTCACGATTGGCGCAAATGCAGCCGGTACCAACGGCTTAACGTGCCTTCCGCAGCAAGGAGTAGCTCGAGATAATAAGTTTTGGTCACCCATCCCGTGACCGACTCTTGCGAAAGTTGCTTAACGACAATGATCGCTGGCCGCGGCGCTTATCCATTACGCCACCGAGCTACATTTATTACTCATTTATTATATTTATTACTCAATTATATTTTGTTTATATTTTAAATTAGTGTGTACATATGTTTACTTTTATAAATGTCCTTCATTCTTCTTCTTTTGATGCACTAGTCCGCAGTTTCTTTACTCTATTGCCATAATTTCTTTTAGTCAAGGGTAGCCTGGTAAAGATTGCTACCTGAGCAATAAAACCGCATTTTGCGTTTTTTATCCTAATTATGTATGATTGTATAGAAATATTTAACTATAAAAAATGGATATATACATTCATTCATTCATTCACAGAAGACACTCTATGTAAATATATCAGTCCTAGTTGATTAATTTTTAAATTTAAGTTAAGAAAAAATCTTTATTATTGAAAAATTAACAAAAAAGTGTAGGAAAGAGTAAAAGATATATGATGTTGATTAACCCTATTAATGCTTTCCACTACCATGGTAGAAAAAGGCCATAGAAAGAAATACAAGGGGAACGGGCTTTAAACTACCACGAGGGTCTAAAGTGGATCGATGGTTCCTATCGCTGTAGATGTAGCTAGGACTAACACGGAGGAACTTGAGGTAATACATTTATGGTCACCCATTTCGTGGTCAACCTTTGCGAAAGTTGTTTAACATTCGCAATTGCAGATACAACATACTCACTACTATTTAATTAAACACCTCAATTTTACAATATTACATACATTTTGCACCAATTCTAAAGTACCATACCAAACTTTTATAATAACGGATACAATAAAATTCGATAATATAGAAATTTCGTTTTCTACGTCAATCTGACCGTGAATCGAATCTTTCGTTCAGTTACGATAAGTAGTTTCAAAATTATAAGATAAAAGATGTCCATTCTTACATACCGGCCAAATTCATAATCCTCCTTTTCGCTTCGCCGTAGGCGAGTAAAAAATTAAACAAAATATCGGTCATATTCTATGACGAGAGTTATGCGATGACACCCCTAGACCTTCAGATATAGTTATGCAGTCTTTGGCTTGAATTACTTAATTTGTAAAAGTTTAGATTTACATTAAAAATATTAATATAGCATTATATATGTAAATTTGATAAAGTTATAGTAAGTTTAGATTTGTTTAAATTACAATTTTTTACATCATTTATCATAGCATTAGACAGAAGTTAAATAAGGTTCTTTCTAGAGTATACTTTGTGACAGAATACCAATAATCA